GCTCGCCTTGAGCTGAAGAGCTGAGGGACAGCGCCCAAGCCCAGAGTTCAAGCCCCACGACCGACCAAAAAAAAAAAAAAAATTTCATGGACTTTCCTGCCTGGGCTGGCTTTGAACCGCAATCCTCATATCTCAGCCTCCTGAGTAGCTAGGATTGCAGGTGTGAGCCACCAGTGCCCGGCATATTATACTATTTTTTCCCCAAGAGTTTAAACAAAAAGTCAATTTGCATTCCTAGGGTTTGTGTCACAAATGGCAAAAAAAAAAAAAAAAGAATTGGAGCCAGGCACTGGTGGCTCATGCCTATAATCCTAGCTACTCAGGAGGCTGAGATCTGAGGATCATGGGTCATAGTCAGCCTGGGTAGGAAAAGTCTGTGAGACTCTTATAGGAAAAAACATGTAGCTCAAGTGGTAGAATGTTAGCCTTGAACTGAAGAGTTCAGGGACAGTGCCCAGGCCCAGAGTTCAAGCCTGTGACCAACAACAATAACAACAACAACAAAAGAGGATTGGATTTCAGGGAGTCCACATTCTAGAGGTGTACTCCATGCAGGGGGGTGTGAGGGTTGCTGGCTTTAGAGGAGCTGATCCCCCCCCCCCCCCCCCTCAGGGATGGAATAGAGGAAAAACAGTCCCCTCACAATAACCCACCCCCTGCTGGTTGTTTAGCAGCTGCAAAGGATGGAGCCGTTTCCCTGGCAGCAGCCTTACCTCTTTGTACTCCTTCCAGCCCTGCTGGAAGCTCACACTGCCCTTCTCCCTGCGCTGGATGAGGGTCCATCCGCCTCCATTAGCTTCCAGCTCACAGAACACCTGGTGGGGAGCATGGGGGAGGGGGTTGGGGGGGAGGGGTAGGAGGGAGAGAGAAGGCAATGAGCTGGAATCCTTCAGAGGCATTCAGAAAAATAAAAAAGCAAGCTCAAACTCTCATTGTTTTCTAGAAGGCTGGAGAAGTAACAGCTCCCCTCAGCTTTCTTCTCTCTTCAGTTGTACCCTAAATGGGGATGTTTATGCCTTTTACCTCTTTGTGCCTCAGTTTCCCCTCTGTGAACTGGCATTTTTGTGAGAATTAAATGAATGGAGCCATGCGCGTTGTTTAGAAGACAGACAGACAGACAGGCCCAAGGCTTGGAGCTTTTGTTTGTTAGCATGGCAGGGTTGCTATGAGGCATGACTCAATGTTGACTGACATTGCATTGGGCTTTTTGTCACTGTGACAAAATGGGGTGAAGGAGGGAGGAAGGGAGGGAGACGGCTTTCTGAGGCCTGTGGCTACCGAGGGTTCAGCCTGCGGTTTGGCTTGCTCAATCCCATGCCCTCAGGCAGAAGACCAGGGCAGTGGGATTGTGTTCATCTCAGAAAGGGAGGAAGTAGACTCTAGGTATAGAGTCATGGACCTACTTTCTCCAGACAGACCCTAATCCCAACGTTTCCAGAACCTTCCAAATAGTGCCACCAGCTGGGGACCAATTGTTCAAAGCATGAGGCTGTGTGAGGGCGGGGAGGGGGGAACTTGATATTCAAATGGTAACACACAAGATGCTTAGCCATATTAGACCTAGAAAATGCTGTTACTGTCATTCAATGAACAAGTGTTTTCTGAGTACCTACTATGTACCAAGCTTGAACAAACTAGCCTTTGTTTCAAAGCAATCATCTACCTGAATCTTTCAGCTTAACTTTCATCCACACAATATTTTTTTTCCAGGCAGTTGAGTACATGGTCAATGTTTGATGATGTTCAATGATTACAGACTTGGCTTCAGGCCCTTGTTGACGAATCAGAGGTAAGCCAGCCTCAGGGCTAGATTGGTCTGGCAGAGCCTATAATAATCCAGGCAGACTGTTGGCTGCAAATGTTTGGGGAGCTACAAAGAAGGGTTCAAAGAAGGAAACACTCAGAAACCCTGGAAAGTTTCCTAGAGGAGGTGGCTTCAGAACAGGGCATCGGATGAAGAGGAGTCTGCCAGGTGGATAACGTGAAATGTTTCTGGGGGTGGGAGCAGGGTACAGCAGAAGCAGGGGCTTGAGATGCTAAAGGCCTATTGAGGGAGAGACGGCAGGGCATTTGTTGTAGGGATGGCAGAAGGTGCAGGAAGGGTGCAGGAAGGGAAACTGAGTCCCAGACAGGAGAATACTGTGCTTCAGAACAAGACACAAGTAAAGCTGAGGTTTGAGCCTCACAGATCAACTCTTGATCAGTGTCCCCAAATTCTAGCTGCTCACCCCTGCTGAATCCCGCCATAGCTAAATCAACTCACATATCACTTGCATATCACATTTACTTTTTATGATAGTGCCCTTTTATTCCTAAAATAATATACTTGGTCAAGTGCATTTTAAGGGAACATATTGTCAGTACCATAAATGAAAGCCACCTGAACTCTTGCCTTTGTTCAGATGATTGTAAAAAATAAATATAGTAAAAAGATTTTTACAAAATTCAAACTAGAAAGCATTGAAACACACAGGGCTTTGGGCCACATCTTTTTTGTGAAGGGGAGTTTAGCAGGTAAGAGGAAAGGAGAGGACAAACGTAGGGACAAAATGGGCTGCTTTTCTGAACATACTCATAAGGAAAGAAGTTGCTGGGCGCTGGTGACTCACACCTGTAATCCTCAGGAGGCTGAGAGCTGAGGATTGTGGTTTGAAGCCAGCCTGGGCAGAAAAGTCTGTGAGACTCATATCTCCAGTGAACCACCAAAAGCCCAAAGTGGAGCTGTGGCTCAAGTTAGCAAGAACCCCAACCGTGAATGAAAAAGCTAAGGGATAGTCCTCAGGTCCTGAGTTCAGCCTCCAGTGCCGACACATGTGAAAAAGGGGGTGGGAAGAGGAAACTGCGGAGAAGAATGGGAGGTGGAATGGCCGGCAGCTTGTTTGGACATTTTCCATTGTCAGCTTGCCCCAGACCTCCCTCCAGATACCTGCACAGAATTCTGTCTTCCTTCTCTCCTGATGTCTGCACCTTCTAGTTCAGGACAACAATACTGATCAGCCTTGCCTTCACCCACACAGAACTTCTTCCCAAATGAGAATCATCGGGAGAAGATGTCAACAAAAGATGCTTGCCCGACTTTGGGGGTGTCCCTGCCTGGCTGGGGAGCTCAGCCTGGGAAGCCTCTGGCTGAGCGCCTGGGAGAACCCAGTTTTCAGGCGCCCCTGACCTTCCTGGGCTCTGACATATTGGCCATGTGGATGGTGTAGACGCCACTGGCGTTGGCCCCGGAGCGCTGGATCTCGGCGCAGTCCTGGAACACAGGCTCAGGTGCCCTCCCGGAGGCTGCTGGGGACAAAGCAGGAGTGAGCTGGAGGTAAGCAGGGGTAGAGGAGGGAAGGGGTGGACACAGCCTGGCTGCCCTGGTGCAGGTTCTGATGGCAGGTTTGGGGGATGGGGAAGCCACTGAGAGGAGGCCGCAATGAACTGGGACCGAGCCATGTACCGGGGTCCGGGAGGAGGGGAGGGCCTTCTGGGCAGAGGGAACAGTATATGCGAAGTCTCCTAGGTGGGAACTGTCTTGGTGTGTGTGTGGCAGATGGACGAGGTGTAGGGGGAGACAGGACTCACCCCACAAGTGTTCTGGCTGTTTGAGGGTAAGGGAGGAGGAGAGCAGAAAGGAGTCTGTGTTCTAGCAGGGTGAGTGGGCCTTGAATGCCAGGCTGAGGAGCCCTGAGCACTGGGTAGAGAAGGAGCACTCTGGCAAGAGCAGAGTAGTGGTTGCAGGGAGGAGGCTCACAGAAAGGAGGCCTGGGAACAGGCCCTTCCGTTCTTGGGGGTAGGGTGCTTGGAGCCAGCACTCTAATAAGGCACACTGCCCATACCAGGAAACAGGTCCAAGTGGTCCAGCCAGCTGGCCAGAGCTTTCCCTCCTCCTCCTCTTCCTCCTTTTTTTTTTTTTGTTAGTCCTGGGGCTTGAACTCAGGGCCTGTGTGCCAGACCAGAGCTTCTTTTGCTCAAGGTGAGCACTCTACCACTTGAGCCACAGCTCCACTTCCGGCTTTTTTGATAGCTCATTGGAGATAAAGGTCTCATGGTCTTCCCTGCCTGGGTTGGCTTTGAATCACGATCCTTAGATCTCAGCCTCCTGAGTAGCTAGGATTACAGGTGTGAGCCTATAGTAGGGACTTGGAGCAAACCAACTTGCTGTGGCTCTATCCAGAGTCTAGCAGCCCAAGGTGGGAAGCGTGGGCGCCTTCCAAATTGTAAACTGAGGAGTGATCAGAACCCACTGTGGGCTGTGCATGACCCTGGCTCACTGTCCCTTCTTGGAGCTCCCTGGGCGGGTCATCAGGATCACCCCACAGCTCTGGGCAGAAGCTCCCTCATTCTGCCCCTCTGGGAACTGACCAAGGGCCTGTGTTTCTTTTCTTTGACTGAACCCCACCAGGACTCAAAAAAGTGGACAAAGAAATGACTATGCACAAACAGCCGGGATGTAAAATCCTTGCTCTTGTTTCATTTAGAATGAACCAATCAGGGCTTTGGGCTGTGGAACCCAATTTCTCTGGTTGGCAGGCACCTAAGGATGGCCTCATCTCCCTCTCTGTGTGAGACTCAGGGAGAGGGCTCTTCCTGTTTCATACGTGAGGAAAGTGGATGGCCTGAGAAGTCACACGGCTGTGCAGAGCCCTGGTTGTAGGTAAATAAAGGAACCAAGATTTGAACTCTGGTCCTTCCTACTAGCTGAGTCTAGGGAAGCTGGGCAAAGAGGCAGGTCCACCTCTGTCCTTCTGACCTCTGAACTGGACTCTCCAATGCCTGAAGCAAGGCCTTCTGGGAGAGGTGTCTGGCAGGGCCACACACATGGGACTCATTCAGAGGCCTTGGCTGCGCTGCCAGGGCTGTGCACAGCCCACAGTGGGTTCTGGTCACTTTACAACTTATGGCTTGGAAGGCTCCCACTCCTCCTGCCTTGGGCTGGCTGGACTTAGGGTAAAACCACAGCATGGTGGCCTGCCCCAAATCCCCATTGGCTCTGGAGCCTGGAACTCTGTCCCTATGGCTCAATTTCTTGTGTCCTAATGAGGCTCCAGCTGCCCCAGGGCAGGGGCTGCAGGAGGGTCTCTTCCTAGGCCTCTCTCACCAAACTAGTCTGCGCTCTAGGCCCCCAGTCTGGACTCCAAAAAAGCATGGGTCCAAATTCTTCCTGCAACCCTCCTGGACTCAGATTAAAGTCTCCTCTCGTCTGCACAGTCCTGAAGGCCTTCTGTGGTGAGGAAATTTCTGGAAGGGCTATTCACAGAGCCAGCACTCAACTGAGAAGCAGGCCCCTCACTCTCTGAGGAAGCAGACATGCTGGTAAGAGTCAGGAGTCTAGTGGAGTGTGGTGGCTCATGCCTGTAATCCTAGCTACTCAGGAGGCTGAGATCTGAGGACCGTGGTTTGAAGCCATCCCAGGCAGGAAAAATCTGTGAGACTTCTATCTCCACTAAACTACAAAAAGGAAAAAAAGAAAAGAGCTAAAAGTGGAGCTGTGGCTCAAGTGGTAGAGTGCTCACTCAGGGATAGTACCCAGGCCCAGAGCTCAAGTCCCAGGACCAGAAAAAACAAGGAAGAAAAGAAAAAAGAAAAAGACCCAGGAGTCCTTATCAGGCACCAGTGCCTTTCATCTGTAATCTTAGTGACTCAGGAGATCTGAGGATAACAGTTCAAAGTTAGCCTGGCAGACAAATCTCGGAGATGCTTTATATCCAACTAACCAGCAAAAAGTCTGAAGTGGAGGTGCAACTCAAGCGGTAGAGCATCAGACTTGAAATTGAAAAAGCCAAGTAAGAGAGTGCTAGGTCCTAAGTGCAAACCCCAATACTGGCATACATGTGCGTGCACATGCACACACACATACACACATGTGTGTATGCATGCGTGTGTGTGTGTGTGTAGGGGAGAGTTAGAGTTTCTGCATGAGCTGCAGTCTTCTCCACCCCCACCCAGTGGGGGCTCAAAGGTGTGCTGACTGAAAGGAAGGGTCTAGACCAGACAAAACCTTGCCCTGGGTGCTGAGTAGACCCCAACAAGTTCTTCCTCAGCAGAGGCCAGGGGCACCCCAGGTGGGGCTCGGGGCAGGGTGGTAGGAGAGAAGCCCTTGGGATGCATTGCCTACAACCTCTCCCCTTGCCCTGGGAGACAGAGGGCAAGCCAAGCAATCGGGGCTGCAGGATATCCCCTGGAACTCACTCTTGTTGGTCTAGCAGCTGTTGATGATGTTATTATTCAAACCTCCAATGAAGCACTGGGGAGACAGGCCTAGGGTGGGGTGGGCCACAGAACCAGGGGATGGAGGCGGGATTGGCTTCCGTGTGCATGGTGGAGTAGGGCAGGGCCTTTACCTGGATGGAAACGGGGTCTGTCTCCCTTGCCCTCCCTCCTCCTCCCTCCTTCCCCTCCCGGCGCACCTGGCTCCCCGAGGCCCTGGCCCCGGCCCTGGCCCTGGGCTGCCACGTGCACCAGGCGCTGGACGAAGTCCACGAGCTGTCGCTGTGCCCGCTGCAGGGAGCTGGCATTGCCGCCCAGGGCACGCAGGCTGCGCTCTAGGCCGGCGAGGGCTCCGCTCTGGAGGCCCAGCTGGTGCCGAAGCCGCTCCCTCTGGTCTCGGAGGCTGGCCAGCTCCACCCGCTGCTGCGTCTCCAGGGCCTGCAGCCTGGTCTCCAGGGCACTGTGGGGGAGGGGGACACAGGGCCCAGCGGTACTCACACTTGCCACCTGCACTCCCTGGGGGGGGGGGAGCGGGGAGTGGACTCTGCCGTACAGATCTGCAGGCTCATAGAGGTGGAGCATGTGGTTCTGAGACACACATGCCAGCATAGAGCAGGGAGGGGCAGATCCCAGAGGAATGTGGGCTGGGGTCTAATGGAAGAAGGAGATCAGGTAACAGGGAGACACCATCAGCCAGGTAGCCATGACCAAAGCCCAAAGATACAGCAGCTGTCGAGGTATCCTCTAAGGGTCCTGGAGCAGAATGCCCTGGGGACCAGGGACACAGATGGACACGCCTTGTAAATGAGACCAGCTAAACAGCCTTGCAATCCAACAGCCAGGACTGGGAGAGAGTGTTCTGTTCTGGCATCCCGCACCTGTTGGGGCACCCTCCCTGCCTGGAGGGGAAGGAGGGGGAAGGTTTTGTACAAAGCTGGAAAGCTGCCCTGGGTCTGGGGATAGCAGGTCCCCTACAAGTGTTATCTGATGCAGGTCTCTATTATTGTAATAAGCAAAAGGCATATTTATGGCTTAGGAAACAAAGGGACACTGGAAACGAGAAGGAATGACAGGCTGTACTGTTCCAGAACCTTCCCAAGATAATGGAACAAAGTGCGGTACAAAAGATGGCATGTCCACTTGGGCTTCATGAGGATTCCTGGGCCTTTATGTGCACATTTGCATATTCATACCAGCTCCCCGGGCTGCTTGCTCACTTATTTCTGTGTCCCTGATGTCTCTAAGGAGTGCTTGACCCAAACTTGCTCCAAGATCACTGTTGGTGGCGTGACAAAGACAGGAGAGCTTCAGAGCTGGGCACCTCTGGCTCCAGGGGCAGCTCCAGGGCCAGGGCTGGGTGGAGCAGAAGCTGGGTCCAGGGTGGAAGGAAGGGCCTGGAGGCCATTCCTCAGACCTGGATATGAGCCCACAGGCTGCACATAGGAATTAACTATATAAAATGCAGGGAGAGGGAGAATGGTGCACACTCAAGTTCTAGAATTCTGTTGAGGTTTGGGAGGGGATGGGGAGGGGGTGGGGGGAGAGCATGTTAAAGCTCCAGGTGCTCTGGACACCTGACACACGTTCAGTGTGACTGACAGTGCCCCTGTCCCCAGACCACTGGGACCTTGGGGTGAGGAAGAGTAATTATGGTTGTTAACTGTACCCAGATCCCAGGGGGGAGGCTGCTCTTTGGGCCTGGCATGCTGCCGGCCCAGCACGTGGGAACCTTCGCGTTCTGCCAGCAAGACCAGGCTGTGCTTTCTTCAACAAGGAGATTCTGTCTCCCCTAGAACTTGACCTTGGCAGGCTGGTCCCTACTCTGCTCCAACCCCAGATAAAAGTCTACTCTGGATGCCAGATATCTCTGCTTTATCTGTGTCATGTGACTGCTTCCCCTCTGTCTTTGGAAGGAGGTGGCCAGGTGTATATTGGCAGGTCTGGGGGTGCAGATGAGGAGTCAGTACAGGGACTGGCTTCTCCAGGAAGAGGCAGGTGCACAGGGCCAGGTTGGCTTATTCATGTACACATAGCCAAAGCTGATTAAAAATGTCCAGGACAATTTGGTACACATTGAAAAAACGGTTGACTTATAAAGAAAGGGAGAGAGGAAGGTATGATGATACACACCTGTAATCCCAGCGCTCTGAGGCTAGGGAAGGAGGATGGTGAAGGTTAGGCAGCCTGAGAGATATGGAGGAAAGACTTTGTCTCCAAAAGCTCAGGGTGTAGCTTAATGGTAGAGCACTTTTCTAGCATGTGAAAGACCCTGGGTTTGATTCCTGGTATGGAAAGGAAGGAAGGGAGGAAGGAAGGAAGGGAGGAAGGAAAGAAGGAAGGAAGGGAGGGAGAGAGGGAGGGAGAGAGGGAGGGAGGGAGGAAGGGAGGAAGGAAGGAGGAAGGGAGAGAGGGAGGGAGGAAGGAAGGAAGGAAGGAAGGAGGAAGGGAGGAAGGAAGGAGGAAGGGAGAGAGGGAGGGAGGAAGGAAGGAAGGAAGGAAGGAGGAAGGAAGGAAGGAAGGAGGAAGGAAGGGAGGGAGGGAGGAAGGAAGGAAGGAGGAAGGAAGGGAGGGAGGGAGGGAGGGAGGAAGGGAGGAAGGAGGAAGGAAGGAAGGAAGGAAGGAAGGAAGGAAGGAAGGAAGGATTAAGGTGTCTCTAGCCCCAGGAACATTCCTGTTCTCTGTTCGCACTCAATGCTTCAGAGCCAGGCTCAGTGCCTGACTGAGCCACACCCCACTGCTACGTTCACTGTCCCCCCCACCCCCCAACTTCTCTGGACTCCAAGTCTAGTTTTAGTCCTCACCCCACCCTGAGTCACAGCTTCATTTCTAGGCCTAGCCCTCAAAATGATCCCTAGCCTCAGTCTTAACCCAGGCGCCAGCTCTGTCCCGGACACGGGCCAAGTCCAATTCCCATCATCCATGCAAATGAACTTGACATTGGAGCTGGTGCAGGCCCAGCCCTGGCCCCAGCTTTAGCTCTGGCTGTTGGCTCTGGGACCAGCCTGGAACTCCATGCTAGAGTCCTAGCCAGACGCAGGCTCCAGCACTCACCTATTTCGGCCCTGTAGCCGGTTCAGCTCGTGGCCCTGGAGTAGCAGTTGCTTCTCCAGCTTGTTGGTGGACAGCGAAGTCTCCAGCATCTGAATCTCCATGCGGGATGTCTGGTTCAAGACCTGCCCCGGCACCCAGGACATGGGGACAACGTGAGCCTTGCAGGAGCCCTGGCCAGCGGCCACTTCCAAGACTTGATGACCTATTGCCACCCTCAAGCCACTAGTTTCTGGTTCCTTCCTTCTCTCCTTGGCCCTGCCTTGAGCTTATCATCTGTCTCCTAATTTTCCCTCTCTATCACTGCCCTTGACAGTGACAAGTCTGCTGCCTGGGTCCCAGGAGAAATACTCTGATTCCCATACATGAGCAGGTGCAGTCCCAAGTGCTCCCTAGCCATTTCCTTCCCTCCACAGCCTCCCTCTGGTCCTGCATTCCAGGGTCCTCTACCCAGTGTCCTACATGGATTCCTTCCAAGGAGGCAGTCTAAGGTGACCTTTCAAAACCCAACCTCACTGGGTGCTGGTGGCTCATACCTGTAATCCTAGCAACTCAGGACGCTGAGATCTGAGGATCACGGTTCAAAGCCAGCCCTGGCCGGAAAGTCCCCATGAGACTTTTATCTCCAATGAACCACCAGAAAACCAGAAGTGGCACTGTGGCTCAAAGTGGTAGAGCACTAGCCTTGAGGAAAAATTGCTCAGAGACAGCGCCCAGACCCTGAGTTCAAGCCCCACATCTGCCCCAAACAAAACACCTGTCGCCTCTCTGGCCAAGAAAGCCCTCCAGGCCTCAAGTCTCCATCTGGCTCCAGCCCCTCCCTGACCCTCTCTGTGCCCCTCCCAGCACCCCAGCACTCTCTTGTTCCTGTAGTGTGGGACCCACTCCCACCCCTGGGCCTTTGTGTGTGCTATTCTCCTTGTCTGGCCTGCTCTCCTGAGTTATCTGGCTCCAGTCCTCTGTTCTCAGGGTCCTTCCTGGCCTTGCTTTTGGACCGTGGCTGCCCTCACACATTTCCTCTCTCTGCAGTGCTAACACAGGTAGAATGTTGGTCTTGCTTGCTTCCTTGGCAAGCTGGGGGTGGGAGTGAGGCCAAGGGATGCCCGTTATAGTCACTGCTATCAACCAGGGGCAGGATCTGGCTCTCTCATGGTGTCTGGGGCACAGTAGTTCACCAGACATAGGCATACCTACCTGTCACTCACTGATTCCCACCCTCTCAGCCCTCCACTCAGCCCCCCTCCCCCCGCCCCCTGCCAAGTGCTCAGAAATCCTTCTGCCCCATGATTGGAGGGGGAGGGGGGAAGGCAGTTGGCTACCAGCTCAGAGAGGCCATGATCTCCCCCAGGGTCAGAAGCCTTAACCTTCCCAGGGACAGAGGCGCAGCCCAGATGGGCTGTTTGCTGACCATCTCTGCCCTCTCCCCGCGCCCCCCACCCCAAGCCGTTACCTGGGCCTCGACGTCGCTCAGCTTGCGGGTCTTGGCGGTGGTCTGGTTCAGGAGATTAGTGCCCAGCTCCAGCATGGTGGCTGTCTGGTTCTGGACTACGTGCTGCTGGGCTTGGGCCAGCTCGGACCTCAGGCTTGTCTGGATGGACCGCTCCAGCTGCAGGGGGGATTGTGGGCTGTCCTCCACTCAGCCTCAGCCAGAGGGATCCCAACACACATCTCTCCTCTGCTGCACACCTCCCAGGGGTTCCCATTTCACCAAAGGAAAACCCCTCCTCCCCCTCCCTCCCCCTCATTCCACTCCTGATGCAGTGCCTCTAGGACAGCTCTCTAACACAAGCACAAGCCTGCCTCAGGACCTTGGCACACGCTGTTTCCATCTCCCACCCCTGCCCTGTCCTCATCATTGCATATACTTAGTACTCCCTGACTTCATCTTGGCATCCGTTTCTCCAGCTCTGATCTTGTCCCTCAAGAAGATCAGCTCCACAGGACTAGGAACTTGGCTTGCTGTCCACTGGGCTTTGTACAAAAAATATATTCAACCAACTCATGGAAAAGAGGGAGCAACAATGGTCAGAGTGTAGCCTCCCCCCATCTCAAGTCCCTTCTCTGGCAGGCAGGAGGTGGGCTCACCTTCCCCTGTCTAGATCTGTGGGTCTACCTGCCAGCTGAACTCTTTCTTCCGATGTCCCGTGTCTGCATGGAGGGCCGGAGCCCAGTCCCCGGGGCTCTGGGTCCCTCATGCTCATGTGCCCACTTTCCCCAGAGCTGGACAGGCTGGTCTAGCATGTGGCCACCATTGAGTTGCAAAGGGGGCACAGAGCTGGACCTCCACCACACACACACACACACATTCAGGAGCGCACAGGCACACACGTGCACACACACACGTGCATGCACTCATGTACACACACTGGCCTTCAGCCACCATCCAGCCTGGCCCTGGCCCTGTCCTGGCCTTGGCTTCCAGGAGGTCCAACAGGGCCCTGGGAAGACTGGGGCTCCCTGGGGAGCATGGAGGACCGTGGTGATCTTGGCTCAGGGAGGAGCCAGCTCTTCCATCTCGGTGGTCCCGGCCCTGTGCCCCTTTCCCCGCTGCCCTCCTCCCCCTCTGCTCCCTCCCCAGGGCTTTGGCAGGAGTCCATCTCATGGCGAAGGTGAAGCCCCAGGGGAGGTGGTGGGGCAAGGCTGACATTAATTAGCTCAGGGTCCCTTTTGAGCGCATGTACAGAGACCCCCTCCAAGTGGGGTACCCCAGGAGCAATGTGGACCATTTATGTGTGTATATATATATATATATTGCACATGCGCACACACAATTGCTGTGTGCCCAGGTGCTCTTTGGCCTGTCTTTTCTGTTACTGAGAAGGGCTCTGTGAGCTCAGATCCTAGGGGATGCAGCCCCACCCCGGCTGGTTACCTGCATGTTCCCTGGACATCCCTCTGTCTCCCCACAGTGACTTTTAAAAAAGTCTGTTCTTTTCTGTTTTGGGGCCTATACTGGGGTTTGAACTCAGGGCCTGGGCACTGTCCCTGAACTTGTTCCTTTCCAGAATAGAACTCTACCACGTGAGCCACAGCTCCACTTGTGCCTTTTTTTTGTTTTTGTTTTTGGTGGCTAATTGGAGATAAGAGTCTCATGGATTTCCCTGTCCAGGCTGGCTTTGAACTGTGATCCTCAGATCTCAGCCTCCTGTGTAGCTGGGATTACAGGTATGAGCCACCAGCACCCGGCTCTGCATAGGTGTTTAACAAGCATGTCCACACACATAGAGTACCCAGCTCTGCTTCCCCTGCCCCTTACCATCCAGCCGCTCCTGCCCTCTCCAACCTCATTCCAGTGAATGGCCCTGCCCAGCTCTGAAGCCCCAAGCTGGACCTTAAAACCCTGACGTCTTTTTCTCCCACTCCCTCTACCCACTAGTGACTTCTGCTCACTGGAACCCCAAGGCACCTTAGGAAGCCGTTCACTGACTCCCTCACCTCCCCATGCGACTTCTTTTTTGTCAGCTGTGGAGCTTTAACTCCTGTTCCTGAACTTTCGTCCTCAAGGCTAGAGCTCTAACCCTTGAGCTCCACTTCCAGTTTTCTGGTGGTTAATTGGAGGTAGTCTCATGGTCTCTGCTACTTTGGTTGGCTTCCTACACAGTCCTTAGATCCCAGACTCCTGAGTAGCTAGTATGACAAGGGTGAACCACTGATGCTTGGTGCTCAGCTCCAGGCTTCATCTTCAGAGGCCCTGCTGTACCTCAGCCCTGGGGGACCCTGTGTGGCTGATGGGAGCTGACCCCTAGGCAGGGCCAGGGGAGCTGCACTGATCCTGGTCTCAGACTTTGCCTGGCACTGTGAGCTCCTAGAACATGGAAGACAGCACAGCCTACTACTCCCGAGTGGCAAGGCCATACCAAAGAGTAGGGAAGTCCAGAAGTCTGAGCTGAGGTCACTGCCTATCAGCGCAGAATCTTCGTGCTAGCACCCTGCCCCGGGCTTCCCCAGGTCTGCAGAGGTGGGCTGGGCTTCTATAGCTTGAGATCCACGCCAGTATGTGTCCCCCACTTGCTGTGGCCACAGAGGAGAGGCAAGGCAAAGCCACCCACAGCTGGCTTCCATCACCCAGTTTGCTGAGCTGGTCCACGTGCATGGGCCTTCGGATGCATAATCCAGGCCAGCTGGTCTGGGGCTGTAGAGACCCACAGAGGCCGGGATGGGGGAGAGGGGCCCTGGGCCTGGCCCAGGGCTCAGGCACCAGCTGAAGGGGGAAGGGGTAGAGAGGGGTTCAGTATAGGAATTCACTTAAGCTGGGATCCACTGTTCTCTTGACCTCATACCCCCCCTTTTCTGTCCCCCTCATGCTGTGAGTTCTTAGACACCCACATAGGGAATGGGGTCTACCTTCCCTACACCATCCCTCCATCCTTTTGTTGTTGTTGGTGGTCCTAGGGCTTGAACTCTGGGCCTGGACCCTGTCCCTGAGCTCTTTTGCTCAAGGCTAGTGCTCTACCACGTTGAGTCATATCCCCACTTCTGGTTTTCTGGTGGTTTATTGGAGATCAGAGTCTCACAGGGGCTTTTCTGCCCTGGCTAGCCTTGAACTGCAATCATCTTCAAATCTCAGCCTCCTGAGTACCTAGGATGATAGGCATGGGCCCCCACACCTGGCCTCTGCAAGTCTTTTTTGGGGAAAAGTCTTTTCTTGTGCACTTGGTTCATGATAGGGAAAAGCATTTGTCCATGCAGGTAAAAGTGAATACAGAGAGACCAGTGTTCTGTGTCAATGTGCACGGCTCCTCGGCTTACTGGCAGGGTAGCCTCAGGTAGAGCTGTCTACCCCACCACAGGGCCTCTTTGTTGAAGCAGTGAAAATAATCGCTCCTGCCCTCCAGGGTTGTCAGGGCCTCTGGGGAAGAATCTGTGTGAGGAGCTTGATGCAGGGTTACATAACCCATGTGTGACATTGCGTGACAGAGCGTGACAGAGCGTGACAGAGCGTGACGTGTCTGGGTGATGGTGACAGGGAGCCATTCTAGAAACAGGGCTGAGCTTAATCAGAGCTGGTCTGAAAACACGGCCACGCTGGTCCCTGGTGGCTCACACCTGTAATCCTGGCTACTCCGGAGGCTGAGATCTGAGGATCTCAGAAGCCAGCCCAGGCATCAGAGTCCATGAGACTCTTATCTCCAATGAACTAGCAAAAAGCTGGAAGTAGAGGTGTGGTCCAAGTGGTAGAGTACCAGCTAGCCTTGAGCGGAAGAAGCTAAGAGACGGTGCCCAGGCCCTGTACAGCTCCAGTACTGGTGTGTAAACACGGGCTCATGTGCGCACATGCATGCACACACACACACACCATTCTGACACACCTGGAGTGAACACAGCATGCGGACTGCTGGTGTGCAGCTGTTATATTTCTCCTTGTGTGCAGGTACAGGCTGAGGGAACCCCACTAATAACCAAGTAACAGGGAACAGTAAGGGAGGGGAATGGCCATGGTGCCTCCTTTTTATACAATCTATTTCAAAATTGTTTGGATGTTGAAAAGAGAAGGAGTACCTGTACAGGCAGGGTTAATATATTTAACAAGTAGTGCAGTCACCAGGTATTTGTAATCCCCAAGAAAGTTCAGGGAATTTGTTGACTTGAATGGAAAAGAAAAGGGAGGGGGGCATTATTTTTCTCACTAACCTGTACCTGGAATTCTATGTGGATGAAAAGCAGGCCTTCAACTACCACAGCCATAACTGGGCCTGTGAGCGGACTTTGTCACCAGTGGAAATGACTGACACTCTCCTGTCTCATCACGGTGGCTGTGGATGTTACAATATATGTGTCCACTCCTCACGGCCTCAAACTGATGACTGCACAAGGTCCTAGCAGAGAGGGGTGTTTAATGGAGGAAGAAGGAAGTGAGGTTTGATTGCACCAGAAATTTCTTTCAAAACCAATTTTTTTTTTTGACCATGTAGCCAGGTGCTGGTGACTCATACCTATATTCCTAGCTTCTCAGGAGGCTGAGAGCTGGAGGATTGCTGTTTGTATGAAGTCAGCTGGGGCAGGAAAGTCCTCAAGACTCCATCTTCCACTCAATCAGTCAAAATCTGGGCTGGTGGCATAGCTCGAGTCATGGAGCACTAGTCTAATAAACAAACTGAGTGAGCTCGAGGCCTTATGTTCAAACTCAAGTACCTGTATCAATATCTCAAGTTGATTTGTTTCCTCTGTGTGTGTGTGTGTGTGTGTGTAGGTACTTTAATTACTGTATCACTTTTTGCAGTGCTGGGGATCGTACCCAGGGCCTTGTGGAGACCAGCCAAGGCCTCTGTTACTGAGCAGCACCCCAGCTCCTATCTCTTTATTTGCTTTTGTTTAAGCTGTATAGCTCAGGCATATAGATATAACGGGCTTGCACTCTGGGCCTGAGCACTGTCCCTGTCCTCTCTGTGCTCAAGGCCAGCGCTCTACCACTTGAGCCACTTGCGGTCTTCTGGTGGTTAATTGGAGATAAGAGTCTCATGGACTTTCCTCCCTGGACTGGCTCTGAACCGTGATCCTCAGATCTCAGCCTCCTGAGTAGCTAGGATTACAGATGTGAGCCACTGGCGCCCGGCTTTATCTTGGTCTTAACTCACGAGCCTCTTGCCTCTGGCTTCTAAATGCTGG